AGTATCTTAAATAAATTTGGAAAGAGGAGAGCAAATGAACGTTGAAGAGAGGTTCAATTTCTCCACCCCGACGCCCGATTTGAAGACAAAAAGGACACAAAGAATTTCATTTTAACAAAAAATACATTATTTGTACGAAGTGATATATCCAAGTTATTATAGAGACTTCATCTACATGATATATTAAAAGCAATGCACATAATGGTCTTTATCATTCATAAAATTTCGTTGACCTTTGATATTAACTCTCTTTTTTTCTAATCAGCTACTTGACTGAGAATTGTCGGATACCAGAAAACACGTGTAGACCCTCCCATACACAAGGCGTACCCTCTACATTTGCAAGTGACCCGCAGTTATTTGACAGGAAAATTCTGCAGTTTGGTTTCTTTATATTGTGCATTTTTTAGCTTTTTGTTTCAAGAATAAGAAGACAAGCTAGGAACAATCTTTTTTAATTCAAGTGATAATTCGAAAGTTTTTTTTACCGAAAAATTGTAATTACAACTAACTAGACTTTAAAAGTATATACTGTTAACGTACCTTTTTCCACGAGGTCACAATTCCACGGGATCACAAGTTCTGTTAAATCCGCGGGTAGAAAATTATGCGGATTTCTTGGAATGCTATTGTATTTCATAAACGTACTTGTAATAAACTAGGAAAATATCTGTGGTAAATTTGTGACCACTTACATAGCGAAATTTAATCCACCCGCTGAAAAAGTAGGTCTACAGTATTCATACCTATGTAAGAATGTAAAATGTTCATATTGCACATAAATAATTACGAGAGTTTTCTGACCTTCTTGACATCGAGACAATTCCAATAGTCAATCTTGACACTTCTTAGATGTTTTCTCGGACACGACCCTAATGTCTCCATCTTAAATGAGGACGGAAGACAGCCATCCTTGATTGAACAAGGGCAGTTGTTTTTAAATAGATCGCATTCTTTTTTATACTTTGTTCGCCACGCCTCCGTGACATTTTCTCCGCTTCCACTCACAGCATGAAAAACAAGTTCCCAGTCTCCTGTTAGAAACACATGATATTGCCATTTTGTGACAGCTTTGTCACCAACATTATCTAGTAAACAAATCTAATTAGACTTTCCAGAAGAACACTTAATGGTTATTCATGATTATCCATTCGTAGATTTTTAATATTGTGTACACTGGTCAGAAAATAAATATTAATAAACATGTATGTTATTTATGCATTTAGCAATTTACGTATACATGGATTACATTACATTCTTGCTCAATTGTATGTAGAATTGTAATTTTGTTTCCAATGATCAACATAAATATTTAAACCTACCTTCATGGAGTGTTGCTCCGTATGAAACAATTTTACACAAAATGGTTTCTATCACAAGGACCACTTGTACTTTAGACATGTTTTTAAGCACACTTGATGCTCTAATAAGGAAACAGGTGCAAAACATTTGTTAAAAATTATTTACAAAATATAATAAAATTTATACTTTTGAAATTCAATTTAATTTTTTTACATTCCTAATGTTGCTCCTGGGTGTAAATTTTATTTTTTGATAATCATTTCATGTATATGTGTTCAACTCAAAATTCATAAGATTTAAACATTGTAAACATGTTCAGGCTTTTTCTAATTATGTAGCAGCTTTTTCCCCTTCACATATTCAAAATGTTTTATAATACTATGAGTAGTTTTAACCGATTTCATTTTTTGTTGTTTTGATAAATCAGAAAAAGTGTACACCATTTTCACTGGAAGATATTTTTTAATCTAATATACAACTTAAGATTAAAAAAAAATAATTTTTCTTAGTGTGTAAAAATGTAAACCTGTTAGCTTTATATTTAATATAATTTGTTAACCTATCACAAACTGTCTTACCATGATCAGCCCATTAAAATGAAATAACCTTTAAACTAAAACTATTTTATACACCGTGTATGTTTCATCCTCATATTAATTTGAAATGAAATCCTGCAACACATGTCATCATAAATATAACCCTTTATGATCACATTCACAAATCAAGGTTGAATTTCTGTAGTATAATACATGTAGGTTGAACAAATGATATCGCATATATTTCAATGTGAATCATTATTTCTGGTATTCATATATTACTTAATTAGAAACAACACTTTTGAAATAATATAAAAACTACCGGTAACCATCACGATGTGATTTTGCAAATGGGTCCTTTTAGACAAGAAATATAAAAATTCAACTTACGTCACAAAGATATATGCAGAACTTTTGCGAAATATTCTGATTAACATTCAAATAGGCATAACAGTAAAATCGGTAATAATAAGGTTGAGCGGCAATACTCATCTGGTAACCTGTAACAGAGTAGAGAAAAGAAATACCTATAACTTAATCTTTTGGAGATTTACATTCATAGAACTATGTATATTGATGATTTCCCAAAGTTAAAAATTTTCATTCTTATTTGTTAATTAATAGTTTATTCAGGATATAACTTTGGGCAATACAGCCCATCAGTTTACAAAAATAACATATAATAAGATATATTACAAAATTTAAGACTCTCAGTGAGCCTAAATTGGGGGGTGAAACCCCTGGTCAAGTGTTCCTCAGTCCAACAGTTCCACTCATTTATAGTATACAATAATATATATTGAACAAATTAAGTACAATACAATAAGCAGCACAATACATAATTCAAAGTTATAATACAATGTATATCAATGATGTTTTAATGTACAGACATCTGAAAATATAAACCTTACACAGATAGAAATTAGGTTAACCTGATTGATCTTCGTTGCGTAATATTAGGGCATAATGAATATATTTCCCTAAACCAACTAAAGTAGATATGCGGTTGGTACCCAACAATTGGATTAATTTAAAAGTACTTGGCGATTTGTAATAATATTCATTTATATATTTTTTTCTTAAATTTAGATATCTAGGGCATTGAAGAATGAAATGAAATTCGTCTTCTATTTCACGTGTATTACAAACATCGCATAATCTATCCTCTCTACTTTTGCCTTGGTACCTTCCGCATTCTATGTTAAGATAGTGAGACGAAAGTCTAATGCGGGAAATACGTTTTTTTAAATTACTCTGAAAAGGTTTTGTTAAATAGGATTGCATTTTACAGAAGTCAGATTGGACAAGATGTTTATATAGAAAGCATTTTGACGAATTATCCATAAATGCAGTGCACTCTTGGAGGTATATATCTAGGATTCTATTTTTATACACGTGCATAAAATGAGCAAAGTTTATTGCTTGCTGTTTTATCCAAAATTCTCCCAGACCCAATCTAAATAGTTCCAGTTTTACATCACGCGCCCAGTTTATACTTGTTCCCGACCCATTCTCTGCATCATATCGCAGGTATTCATAAGAAGATTTTAAAATGAAGTTTTCTGTTTTTAATAATTTACACCAGAATTTCATAATTTTCAATTTCCTTTGTATAATAAGTGGATATCGTCCCAATTCTCTATAAATCATATAATTGCATACATTGCGCCTAACACCGAGGGTAATTTTACAAAAGGATAAATGCAGTCTTTCAATTTCCGGAGATTTATGAAAACCCCAGATTTCGCTTCCATACGAGATAACACTTCCAACATATGTATCAAAGAGTTGACATCGGGTTTCGACGTTGAATTCAAATTTCTGTATATTACGGTTTAAACCAAATAATGCTTTTTGACCTTGTTCAGCTTATTTTTTTTGCGTGACATTGAATTTTCCGTTATAATTGAAACACAATCCTAGGTAATTAAAAGAGTCGACAATTTCCAAAATTTCATTGTTATATGTCCATGAAAAATTTACGCATCCTCCTTTTCTGAATACTAAAATTTTGGTTTTTTCAGTGTTAACAGTCAAATTCCACGAGGTATATAAGACCAATAATTAATTATACATTTTATAGAATGAATTGGTCCATCTGCAATACTGACTATGAAGGTTTCGTTAAACTAAGAAATGATGCAGATTACATTTGAGCATTTTTTTTTCACGAAACATTCTACAAAGAACTGTGCAACTATCAATTTAATTGGATTTAAAAAATCTTAAGCAAACTATATGTGTATATCAATGAATGAAATTTAGAGAATGAAAGAAAATACATTGATATATGCACAACATTTTTAATTTTGATGTTGTTGAAAAAATACAGAAGTTTGTATTTATTTCGTAGATGACATTAAAATTTGCCATAATTTAAATTGGCTCTTTTTTTTCCAGGTCAATATGGTTTGCTTTTGTGTAAAATGTCTTACATCAAAGTAAACTGTAAAAAGAACCATTAACTCTCATATACAAGAGGCCCAAGGGCCTTAATGGTCACCTGAGTATAATACAACAATTTAGAGGATCCATAGAGTATAAAATATACTGACAGATGAAGCTTTATCAAAAGCATGAGAAATAGGATGATCAGGATCAACAAAATAATTAGTCTAGTATTCAGTAACAACTCATAAATTATATTCTAATCTGTCCCCCATTTATCACTATCACCATGCAGACTATTAACAAACTATTAGTGCATCTGTACTATTTTTAAGACCATATCAGAACCTCTCACATGGGCCTCTCTTAGTCTTTGAAGAACAATTAATAAGATAAATTATTTTTATCTCATTTTTATTTATCTATCATATAAAAGTCTACCTGATCATTAAAAGTATAGAAGTACTTTTTGTATTATACAATAAAATTCTTGCATAATTCACTTATTCTATTAACCTTTCAAATTCATTATTTACAGTGATTAATTATCAAAAGTCAATGGCAAAGGGGAATAACTTAATAGAGCCCTGGTCAGGACCAGAAGATTTGACCAAATAGTCCAGATGTTAAAAAATCTGGTAAAAATACCCTTGCATATTAAAACTATTAAACTGTTTGCTTCTGATATGCCCAGGAGCAGAGTTAAGAAATGAATGTAATATTTTTTTTCTTTGACCGAAGTATCAAACAAAAATTTGGACGGAAAACGTCATCAATGCGTGCGCGTAGCGCATTGATGAAAACGTTTTCCGTCCAAATTTTTGTTTGATACTTCGGTCAAAGAAAAAAATATTACTTTCATTACTTATCATTTAATTATGATTTAAAAATAATAAAATGAAACTTTCTTTCACTTTAATATTTAAGTATCGAAGACAGTGCGTAGGAATACATCACAACAACGTTGCTGAAATTCAAAATGGCTGAATGTACAGATCTACGCGCATTGGATTGATGAAATTTTACGTCCAAGCTTTCTATGATACATCGATGAAAGAAAAAATTATAAGATTTATTTCTTATCATTTAATATATATCTTTCAATGATGAGATTCAACTTGAGAACGATCGAATGACTGTCCTACATATAGGCCTAGCTTAGTTGCCTAAATTTTCAGACGCCGAGTATTACGAACAAACAACGTTTTCAAATATTGTCGTGTCATTACTAGCTTTTTCTAACAAAAACAGTTTTAACACAAAAACTTACCTGTTGTATTAATTTTTGCTTTATCCCAATGTTTATATTCCCCCAGTAAGCTGATATCTTTAGGTTCGTAAATGTAAAGCTACTCAAATATAACCTTAACAACTCTTTGTAGGTCACAGAAATTTTCGGTTTCATATGAGCATCTCTTCATCTGAATTTCAGATCGAACATATTACGTATCACAACATGTACATGCATAACACAACATGCTTCAAAATCTGGAAGAGTCCGTTGCCGACTGTTTAACTTTGAAAGAATATCCGTCCTTGCTCAGCGTCGTTTTTCTCATGCATTCGTTTCCTAAGAATTAACAGATTAACGGCATTTCCCCGCTTTGGTAGCATAAAAACATTTCTTCATAGTTCTATTGTTCATACCAGTTATCTCAAACACAAACATTTAACATACGTATGATGATTTCTTCCCTTTTTTCCCGCAACTGCATTGTTGTCATTTGCAGACGATCTGATTTGTTTAGCAAAGGGGGATAATTCGAAAAGAAACGAAAGTAGAAAATAACTCAGGAACGTACAACGGACAAATTTTGAAATTCAGGAAGCGTAAAAGTATTTCATTTTTCTTTCACAAAGTAATATGGAAGCGGGAAATATACATGTAAAGTTAGCCAAAGTAGTTCCGGCCATGCTCCATATTCTATTGATGCAGTTATCAAAAGAATTCCTTAACCAATCAGAATCAATTATTTTATAGAAATTAAATGATAAGATTTTCAAAGAAATATTAAATTCATTTTCACTACAGATTCAACACAGCTCTACCCTTACACCAGAATCCATGACCCAGGGTTATGATATTCAAAAATTTGAAGAGAACTATACGCTTGTTGAATATTTTCAAAGAAGAAACACATTTTACTATATTATCAATAGACCCCCCCCCCCTCC